AGTTTGGATGTTCAATTATATTTTCATCCTAGTTTGGGGGACCTGGTAGGAGGGAACTCTTGCTTTCTTTTTTTAAGCTAATGTTTGCTAGATACATGCCAGGCATTGATTTGACCACTTTCTACACGTTTTCTCATTTAACCCTTATGACCATTACTAGGTGCTATTAGAGATAAAGAACTCAAGTCCCAGAAAGATTAAATAATTTCCCCACATTTAAGAAGCTTGTAAGTAGCCGAGGTGGGATTAGAACCCGCGTCTGGTAAACTCCAGAGACTGTGTGCTTAGCCAGTGCATGCTCACCTTCAGCCTTTTGTATTAGCAAGTGACCATTTGCTATTTGCAAGTGAAATACTGGACTCGAGTCCCAGGTGCCTGAAATCCTCAAGAATTCCAAGGAAGCAGATGCAACCTCAAGTGGCCAGTGGAGCTTCCTTCTGGGGTAGGGAAAATGAGCTATCTGTACTCATCTGAGCATTTCAGAGACCCCCAAGGGATGCCCTGTCTGTCCCTCATTAGTAGAGCTGCCTGTTTACAGGCACGCTGAGATTTTTATTTTTCCAATTAAAGTATAACGAATTTGCTAAGCTTGTGTCCCACATAGCCCTGCCCGTTGGGTGTTTTGTGGGGTAGATAAAATGAAGTGTGAGTCCAGTGGCCTGCCCTGGGGTGAGAAGAGAAAAGAGCAGATCTGTGTGCGTCCTAGCAGCCGGCAGCTCTCTCTCTGCTGTGGCCTGTTCTGGCACTGTGGGCCAAAGTAGCCTTGGAATTGCTTAGACCTGCCTCTGTGCCTTTAGCTGTCCGGGTAAAAACATCACCTCTCTGGAGGCCTGTGCTGGAGCACAAACCCACGTATTGTCTGGCCCCTGGCAGGCTGGTCTGTGGAGGGGACACTCTAAGAGCTCTATTTTAATCTTTTGGAGCTGGGCCAGGGTAGGAATTCAGCTGCCAGCACCAGGCTCCCCACCCCCATGCTCTCGCCCCAGTCCCTGTACCGCTACCCCTCCTGGTTTCATTCGCTCTGACCTCCCATCATGAGAGGTGCTGGTGTTCTTTATTTCGCCCTTTCTCTTTTTTAAACTACCAGGGCTCTTTCATTGATTTGACCTCCCAAAGTGAGGCAGACCAGGGCTCCTCAGCGGGCTACTTGGGGCTCAGAGCTGGCATGAGGCCAACCTTTGAATCCTGAGATTTACCTCCAGATGTGTGTGCCTCTGTGCTTGTGTGGACGGGTGTGTTTGGGTTGTGTGTGTGTGTGTGTGTGGCGGGGGGGGGGCAGAGATCTGAGTGTGTGGGTGCATCTATATGTGTTCTTTATATCTCTATGACTTTCCTCTCCATGTGAAGAAAATGATGGGGTGGGAAAATTGAGGGGAGGAGAGGATAGAAGGGAAAGGAAAGGGTGGCTCAAGTCCATGAACTTCCCCTTCCCCTTTCGCCAACAATACTGCCCCAGCTCGAGTCAGGTAATTTCAGCTGTCTCTCTAACCAGGTCTTCCTATGCCTCCCCTGAGTCGCTTGGCTCTATTTCTCTGGGTAAGAATAAGTAAAGAGACCACAAGGTATAATGGGCATGAGACTCCTTGAATTCCAAGTCCAGCTCTGCCACTTGTTGGTGCTATGATATTGGGTATGTGACCTCCCTTCCTTTGAGCCTCAGTTTCCCAATCTGTAAAAGGCGATATAATGCTACCAACTTTCACAGAAAGTAGACTAAATGGCACTCAAAAGATGACCCATGATGTTAGCTCCTTTCTGGCTTACCCATCCCTTCCTGGGAACAAGGCCTAAGGCAGCGGTGGGTTTGGTCCCTGACCCCAGGGAAGAAGCCCCCAGCTGAAGACGCCCCCAGCTGGAAAGGAGGGCGATGTTCTTCCTGGAGGGGTGGGAGGGGGAAGAGGGTGTGGACCTCCCTCTCCCACCCGGAATCTCCCATCTTCTCTCACCCCCATCCCTCTGGCCTCTGCCAATGATGTGCATTTTCCTCTCTGCACCGGCCTCCCAAACTGACTCATTACCTCGACAGGGTAGCAACTTCCAAAACAAAACTTTTTCAACCAAGGAAAATATAACTATGGGGAGGAAAACATTTCAGTATCAGGCCTCCTGGGAACCGAGGAAATGTACTGAACGTTTGTCAGAGAATGATGCTGTTCTGACTTCACAGACTTCACTGAGGGCAGAGGGAGAACAATGCCTGGCTCTTGGCCTCAGCCAAGACAAAATGGACCAAGGAGGTCCAAGGTGGTGCTCAAGTTGCCCCAAACTTGGAAGAGTCAAAGGTGTGTCCAACATCATGCCGCAAAGCAGGTCCCACCATGGTATGACAAACATCCTACGTAAAGGGGAACCCGTGCTCTGTCCCATGACAATCTCTCATCTTCCCTTCCACCCCAAATGAGATGCCCATCGAAGCCTCGCTGGTTGGCAAAGGGCCTGCTTGCTTCACTCCTGGATTCTGGGAAATGGCTACTGGAACACATTCCACACTTAATAACAGTGCCCCCTGGAGTTGTGCAATACTTTGGCCCTTTCCAGGACACTCTAGGGAAGGGATGTCAGGGTAGTGATTGAGCAGGATCTAAGGGAACAGCTGGTGGGTGACACTGGTGCCAAGTCAGGACGCCAGGGAAGGTCCAAGGAATGTTCCGGATCCCATCTGCTGTGATTCCACAATGGCCTGTACAGCCACAGACTGGGGAACTGAACTAAATGGAACTGTTTTCTGAGAGAGAGCCTGGCGTCAGGGTGAGGCAGAAGAAGGAGTTTCTTTGGGGAGAGGGGCAGAATATTAGGAAGGGATGCTGAACGCGGATTCGTCAGTTACCTTCCTTCTCCACTGTCCTTTAGCTACTATAGACTCAATGTCATCTCCTACTTATCTTCCACCACCTACCCTCCCCACCAAGAGCAGTGAGAGCACAGGACATCTCAAAACAGACACTCTGAGGAGAATCCCTACTCCTCCCTGATAGGCACTCAATGCACTTTAGAGTCATTGAGGGTTTTTTTAAAAGATTTTTATTGGGAAATTGGGGGGATGGGAACAGCGCTGGGGAATTGGGGGATGGGAACAGACAAATTGCTGTCGTTTTTTTTGTTCTTCAGTCTAGTTGTGGAGGACGTTGCTTCACTGGCCCAAGTTGGCACCATCATTGTGCTCTTCCCGGGTGAGGCAGATCAGTCGCCGGCTTCTGGACGGCCGCTCACGGCGGCTGCTGGCCCCTCACGCTGGCTGCTGGCTACACACGGTAGCCCATGGCAACCCACTGCAACAGGGGCTGCAGCCTACGCCATCGCTGGCGACTCACAGCAGCCCAGCTCCAGGTTGAGCTGTTGTTCAGCATCTTAGCTGTGGAGGGCAGTGTCACTGGCCCTCATATGTGGGATCCGAACCGGGGTCCTCTGGCATCCCAAGCCAGTTCTTAACCATTGCGCCACTCGGCCAGCCTGTCATTGAGTTTTAAAGCTGAACAAGATTCTACACATTTGATGATGTCTTCATCTGGAAGTTCAGAGAGAAGTGTCACAGAGTGCCTGAGCCTAAGCTAGAACACAAGCCTCATGGGAAAAGGGTCTGTCTCCTTTGTTGTCTTGTTTGGCTTCATCTGTGTTCATTATCTGCAGGTCTAGAAATGTCCCTTCCCTGTCTGTCTATGCAGGGTGTCTGTTCCAGAGAGTTTTCAGTGGCCAATTCAGGCATTGTTTTTCCGTTCTGATAGGACCTAAGTCAACGGCACATGGCACACTTGAAAGTCACGATTCCTGGGGCCTAAAATTCACTTTCCTGAGTCTTAAGCTCCTTATTTGTAAAACAGTGCTAAAAGTTTTCGTTCTGATCACAGGGCTGTCGTCAAGCTCAAATAGGATGGTGCTTATGAAAGTGTTTTATAAACATACAGGAGATTACAGTTATCAAAAATTTGAGGGAGGAAATGGTGTGTACAAAAAAGGCCTTTTTGGGCACTGGGACAAGACTTTTGCAGGTTTTCTGGGTACTCAGAAGGTGCAGCCGGGATAGGTGATTTGCACACCAATCTCCACGGTGCTCAAGCACCGGGCAGGATATCGTGACATTCCGATAACTGCTGGCTGTCTGGAAGTGCGTCCTGCACCAAAAAGAAAGAGCAGGTTTCTCCCCAGGCCCTCTGCTTCCTTTTGGGGGCTGACCTCAATCAAAGCATGGTGGGTGGTGGAACTTTTCAGGAAGTCCTCAACAAATACTTTCAAGGTATCCTGAAGGGACACACTGAACTCCATCTGAACTATTTTAGAGAGCCTCAGGCTGGTAGGCATTTGGGAAGGCCCTTGAGTCCATTTCTTTATGGAGAAGTTAAGCAATTTATGGGCATTGACCTGATTTGAAGTGATCTCTTTATCAGCTTATCACTCATTTAAGAAGTATTTGTGCCAGGGGCTAATGAAAGGTGTTGGGAATATGGTGGCCACCAAATACACACAAACAAGAAAAAAAAAAAACCACGTAGTTGGTTTTGACTCAGAGTATCTGATCTAGGTTAGCGTACACCTGGTACCTAACTTACTCTAGCCTGTGTCTAATATCAGTCCTTTCTGTGGCCTACAACTTCACTCAGTGATTGACAGAACAAGCATCATCAACATCATTATTATTGACAGAACAAGGAGCATTATGCAAATGTGAAAATGCCATACGCTACCTGATGAGAAAATATATTTTCACATTCAAGAATCATTACAAAGATCTAACTTACTTGACAGATAATATTAGACAAGAGGATTTCATTGTAAGTTTTTTTTTCCTGTCTGATAGTCACTGTTAATCAATAAGAAACTCTTGGTTTAAACTTGCCTAATTTCCTAACATGATTTTTAAAATTATTATTATAAAGAAGAAATTATTTCTTGTTGGCAGATAAAATACTGGATATTATTCGGCATACCTTATCAAGGGCTTAGCATCCAGCGAAGGCATACTTCTTACTTAGCAGCTTACACTTGAAAGGCCTCCTCTTAGTTTGTATTCCATGCTGTCCCTCCCCCAAGACCTCCTCGGGAGTATTCATAGAAGAAAGGGGATATTAAAGAGCAATGTCATCTGTTTGGTTTGAAAAAGAAGGTAAACTTTTATTTAAAGACAGAATTAGGAAAAGAAAGTAATGGTTTACCTAGAAAGATGACAATTTACAGAAGGAAAACAGCACATTCGGCCAGGACAACAAAGCAGCTCTCTGAGGCTGTCGGGAAAGCTGACCACAAACATGCCAATAAAGAGTTGAATTTGTGTGTGTGTGTGTGTGTGTGTGTGTGTGTGTGTGTATTGAAAAGAATTCTGTAAAATGGTATAAGACAAATATACGTTCCAAAGCAGCGTATTTCCTGTCCGTGGGAATTCAGGAGAACCTTTGTGGAGGTTCCTGGGATTGAAGGAATCTCTTTGTAGGGTTCTCAAACACAGAAGAAATCTCAACCGTTAGCCAGAGGAAGCAAGGGTAAGGGAGGAGCTCTGGGGTGTGGGAATAAAGGGGTAGAGAAATGGAGATAGGCCAGCACATGCAGAAATGCACCGAAGACATTTAAACATGCACGCAGGGGAGGGCGGAGCAGGTTAAGATGTCCAAGCTCCTGGGTGCAACTTGGTGAGAGTATTTGCAAAGGCAGCCTGCTCCTTTATTTTCAATATTTGGCAATAGCCAATTATGCCAGAGAAAGAACCCAAATGACGTGATCAACCAAGGGCCAAAGGGTCAGACTTTTCTGATAATTGTCAAAACAATGCCCCAAATAATAACTTCCCAAATTTCAGTGAGAAGATTTTAGAAGCTCAGGCTAAAAAAGGTCTCCACTGAGACTTGGAAAAACCATCAGGTAAGCCAAGTGCTGACAATTCTTTTTGTTATTTAATTGTCATTTCCCCACACTGAAGACAAAGGACTTGGGACTTGGTCTTTAAAGAGCAAAAGATCTTATGAAGAATCAAAAAATATTTTTGATTTCTTCACCCTTCAACTAGATTTCAACAACATCAGGTTAGATATAAAGTATATTAGTATTAGTCAACGCTTACGAAAGTCACTCCTTCTGATAGCTAAGATTTCTTCTGTTGGCAAGTTTTCTTTCAAATACAATCAAGGCAGGTAGGGAATTATCAAAAATACTTGCCATTACAAAAATTAACTTAATTCTTGTTAACCTCCGACCTCTTGTTATAAATTGGTAGGTTGAAGAGGCATGCATTTTACCAGTGTTGTTTTTAATTGAGAGTACTGGCCATTTATAATATCCTTTAAAAATTTTCAAATAGTTTGCAAAAGTACATACTACAAAATATTGTTTCAAGATTGAAAGTCACATTTAACACACCCTACATGATTCATCTGTACAGTTACAAAGGTTTAAAGCACACAAAATTGTGCAGATAACATACCCAAGTCTAAACTTTTACATACACTCAGTTGCATACATAGCAACAAGTTTGCAATACATTCTGAACAAATAACCAATAATCAGCCAAATGACTATGTACACATTAGGCAGGGAGCAATTAAACACTGCCTAATAGAACATTACTTAAATTACTTTTCTATGAAACACCCCTCCCCCACCACACACACACACACACACACACACACACACACACACACACACACACACTTTAATTCTTTTTCCATCAAAAACATTAAATTGATGCTTGTGACCACATACATGGGAAATCCCCAAACATCTGGTTTGTTACAGGGCAAGAAGCAATACAGCAACTCAGAGTGACTTAACACAACAATTTGCCAGACTTGGTTTTTATAAATCAGCTACTGGATAGTGGTTACTGTGAAAGCAAATTCAGACTTTCAAGGCTGAAGGAAGAGGAGCAAAGAGTATTAACTAATAGCTTCATAACATTTGCCACTAAGTTAAATACAGGCTTTTGTTACAAATGAAAAATGTAAATATCTGGAGGGGAAAGGCTCTAGGATGATATTTAAAACAATAATAAACCTCCTATTTCCTTTATCAAAATAGAATATTTTCACAGTCTACCTATCTGATTGTTAAAACAAAACTAACTGTCCTTTTGAATAACCATTTTACAAATGCATTATTAATGGAAATAGAAGAAATAATTGAAAAAAAACACCCAAATATAACTACTGTGTGCAGCTGTGGTGGAAAAACCAGAGACCCGAAATATGGCAACATCAGTGCTTCATAAACAGTCAATGGATTTTTCTAAAAATACTTTTTGCTAATGGCAAAGTTCAACACCTCAGAAAAACTCTGAATTAAGATCTTAGAATAAGTTTCCAAACTGTACAACATAGTTTCAAATACACTACCCTTGTTGTTTGTAAGGCCGCATTGAAGTTGAGCTTAACAGTCATGAGCCATGTGTTTGAACATCTTATGAGAGGTGACCCGCAAAGAAACAAGTTTTTGCCTTGTTCACCCTGCTACCTGTGAAGAGGTATCATTGCCTTCCCAAATAGCTCCTTAAAAAAATGTCCTTAAAGGTATGACCAGGAAAAAAAAAAAAGTTCAGATTCGCTTTACTGAATTATCTGGAAACATAGTTAGGCTTTATAAAGTGAAAATGTAGCACTTTCAATTCTCTGAGAGTGTTCTCTTGTTAATCTACAACTACCCTCTCCAACTGGTATGTTATAGTTCAATAAACAAACATACCAAGAGCTGCACTTTCTCTGCTGTAGCTCTGCCGCGCGTACAAAGCTGAGAGTTGTAGAATAATGGCATTTTCTTTCTAACAAGTGTCAATTTTAAGAAGTCAGTGAGTTCTGTGTGCTGTTGACATAACTAGGGGACTTAAATGCACTGAAGACCCCTTAACAGCTTGAGCTGATAGTTCTCCAAGAGAAAGTGAGAACCTCTTGGGTAGTGTGTGAAGAACAAGAGGAAGCCAAGGACTTGGGAGTTTCCGGTATGCCTCCTTTAAAATTGTCAAGTGAAGAGCTCAATGCCCACTGGGGCGCACGTTCGTGTGGCAGGATAACAATGAATGAGAGGCCAGTCCTCTTTCCCACTTGTCTGGCATGCTCTCCTGGCAAGGATGGGGTAGGTGTTTGCCAGGTGGCTCCTGGACAGGGTCTTTTTAGGGGAGTACAACAAGGCTTCAGTCATTGCTTTTCATAAAGTGCTTTGGGATCCTTTGGGAAAGGGAGCTAGAGGAATACTGTTACTAACTGGCTTCAACTTTCAAACCAAATGGAACCATTTTCTCCAGTGTAATTATTGCTTTGAGCATGAGTGAATGTTTCTAAAAAGGAATGGGTCTCATCTTTAACTACCCACTTTGAAAAATACTCATTCCCTAGAGTGAATGTTTTTAATTACTGTCTCCCAGGTACCCTTGCCAATGAAGAGGATATGATAGCTTTGTAAATGGTTGGAAGCACATCCATTGATGCCTTGCATTTTCCAGGCTGTCCACCCTTATGAATAGACAGCAAGAGTGAAATCAAAGATGTTTGGCCCAACGTGCACTATGTTGGCCTGGCTGAGGAGACGGGCTCCTGCCTCTTCTAAGACATTGATGAAAAGATGTATGGTTATGGTGGCTACACGCATGTCAGATTGTGAGCTCCTTGCGGCCTGAGGACATTTTATACTTGATTCTTTTGTTCCCTGTGGGACTTAGAATAGAGGCAGACATATGGGAGGGTCAATAATTTTTGAGGGTTTTCACAAATGACAAGAGCTGGATAATACAGGTAGAATTAAGCATGTTAGAAAAACCATGGAAAAGATCTGTGATAGGAAAGTCCAGAGACTCTCAGTTTGGACTTTAAAAGAAGGAAAGACAAAGGTCCATCATATCCTAAACCAAACCAAACCAATAAGATGAGACAAGACAAACAAACAAACAAAAATCCTCACTGTAAAGTTTCTATAATGAGAAGTCTGGCCAAATGAGCCCAGGACTGTGAATTAGAGAACACAATGATCTCCTAAAAGAATGTATGAATTTCAACTAGGCTCACAAGATGTTGCCAAGTGGAGGTACGGGAGCTACTTGAACAAATAGCTAGTTATTGAGGATATAGCATCCGCTTTTATGTAGGAATATTGCTAGGAAAACACATTTTTCAAGTTGATTAAATGTGCCCATTGAAACCTAATGTGCATTATTCATTTCATGGGCATGCATCTCTTTCCCTCATAGAAGGTGAAGAAATAACCCCGTGTCCCCAATATAAATTAGGGGATTTAAATTTAATGCAACTTTACTTCATGAGTCAATTTGGTCCAGCGTACCAGAACTTGCTGACCAAATGAGGGGCCCAAGGGTAGGTCAGTCTCTGCTTTTGCTGCCTGTCAAATGTCTCCTATCTAATTCACAGTCACAGACTTCCTTCTGTGCTACCAGAAAGGTCATGATCAAAGAATCATTTGGTTTCTTAGCTCCTGACAATTCCAGCATCTCATCTCACACGTATTTAACATATATCATGTCTTACAATGAGAAATAAGTATAATAGCAACTAACTGCAGGTGACTCTGTCATTTTTGTTATTAAAGGGAAGTCATACGGTAATTTTAAATGACATTTCTCCCAAATTTGGTTTTTTTAAATTAATTAACTTAGCTTAGATGTCTATTATGTGAACTTTGTATTTCCTGGCAACAAGGATCTCTGTGATATTGGAAATCTGTTAGATAAACGTTGAAAAAAAAAGAGTTGAATTTGGAATTAGAAGTAGCTTAGATAATCTGCAAACTAGATAAGTAGCCTATAGACAATCAAGAGTTGACTAAGTATGTGCCAATCCCCAATGGGAGAGCCTGCTACAAAAATGGTTCTGGATTTTGACCCTCACTGAGACTAAACTAGCTCTTTGACCTTGAGCAAGTCACTTAACCTCTTTGTGCCTTAATTGTATCATCTGTAAATGCAAGGACTCAGACTAATTTTGTAGTCCCTTCTAGCTCTAACACTCCATATACATAGAATTCACTCAGAACAGAAGAAAACTGCCTTTTAAAATCCTGTCAGGCATGGAAAAGGAGCTGCAGTGATTCTGATCAAGATTCTTGGGAAGGTTCATTGAGTATAAAATCTCTTAAAAAAATAAAGACTGAGCTCTGGGCTTCAGTTTTCTAATGACCATAGGCCATGGGCCAAATCTGTACCTTTGCTCCAGGGTAATTATTTATGTTTAAATCAAATGTTTTAAAAATGGAAGGAATCGGAATAACATTGTGAACAGGGGACTTTGTATGAACTCCCATGAGGACAAATGGTAGAACTGTGAGGATAGGAGTAGGGCCATAAAGAGCAATATTTAACCAAAATGCCTATGAAGCAGAAAAGGACCATTTAGAATCCCAGTGAACTGAATGGGTCTTGGCTCCAGGAAATGAGCGAAGGCTCATGCCTTTTTGAATACACCGTGTGATCTCTCTGTGATTTGGGTTTCTCCTCCGGGAGAAAGGCAGGTGGGAGGCAATAAGTCTGAGGCAGGATTTTCAGGTGTCTTTGAGCACAGTCTCAGAACCACTGTCAAGCCTTCTAAGGAAAGATTCTCCCTGAGGCTAATGGGTCAGCTGATTTCAGAGTAAAACTGACTTTGGAAGGGGTGGATTAAAGAGGGGAAGGCAGCAACCCAAGCCCTGGACAATCTGTCCTGTCACCTGTGATATGGGGGTGAGTAGATGTGCTTATGTGACTATAAGGATTCCACCACTGCCTGGCCATAGTTGAAGGGCATTTTCTTGTTTAATGGCAAGTCCATGACCTGAGAAATCTGGAGCAAACCCATTATCATTTTCAGACACACAGCCCCCATGGACTTACTTTAGGACTGTAAAGGAAATACATTTTTGCTCATCTCTCTCCCTCCTCTTGTCTATAATCCAGGCTTTTATTTAATTCGGCCATCTCTTTGCACTCTGGAATAATATACGGCCCATTTCTGTGCTTGAATGGGAGCTGACTGTGCAGGAAGGGCTGCTTCCTGCATTATTCTATGTTTGCAAGACAGAGCTAGAAGAGAAGCGTTCTCTATTTTTGTTTCTGGTGACTTCCACACAGAGCCAAGTGAAGAAAAGGCCTGTCCAAGGCCTCTTTAATCAGATCAGTGCTGATGGATAAATTGGATTTGGTGAGCCCCTGAGAACCCTGCACTTTGGAATGACTTGGTTTAGCTGACGGGGAACTCAGGGCAAATCCACTTGACCCTGTGCCCTAGAGAGACAACCTGGGCTTCTTTCTCTCAAGCTCTTCTAAAACTTTGGAATGGAGAGAAAAACAATGCTAATTTTATTTTCATCTATAGAACTCCTCCTACCAATCACAAATTTATGAAAGATCCCTAAATCCAGGGGTCAGATTACAAAGCCAGCTACAGAACTGAGGGTGGCTCGTTGGGCTGCCCTACCTCAGTCGCAGGTGCCACCAACAGAGTGGCATGTTTGAACTGTTGTGTCCAGGACTCCATGTTGGTGCAAAAGCTCCTCTATGCCCTTTGTAAGGTGAACTGGGAATGCCACTGGCAACTCTTGCCTCTATCCCAACTCTTCCCTTAAAAAGAGAACCTTGAACCTAGAACCTATGGATTTTGAATAGTCAAACCATTTGAAAATGGATGGGGGACATGGCGGGGGCAGGCTGGGTGATAGGAAATGCAGGGACTTGCGGTGGATCAGTGGACAGCCAGCTGTGGCCTCCTTACAGCATGCTGCTGAGTATTTCTGACACCGGGGACGTGGTCGGACCCTCTGGGCTCATCTCTGGGTTGGTGGGGCTGGGCAGGCCGGAATGGTCTCCAGGGGGCGGGCTCAAAGCTACCCAGGGCTTTGTGTCCGCCAGGGCCTCGGGGTAGGGCTCCACGTAGATGCGGCGTACCGAAGGCCTTGGGTCTTGGAGGCTGCTCTTCCGCTCCTCCGGGAGGCTCGCGGTGTGGGCCAGCGCCAGGCCCCGAGGCCCATCGGGGGCGGGACTGAGTCGCTCGGCCTCCCCGGGATGCTGGGCCAGATCGCAGGCTTGGGACAGGTGCTGCGTGTAAATGCCCTCCGAGAGCGACAGGGACTGCGTCTCGCTGTGCATGCGCAGCCACCGGTGGTGGCGGCTGAAGCCGCCGTAGTGCTGGTGCTTGGTGAGCTTCCGCTTTCCCAGGAAGCCCAGCGGCGGCCGCGCGCCCGGCGCCATCTTGGTGTGGTTCTTGGGCGCGTAGCCCGTGAGGCTGAGGCCGTGGAGCAACTCGGCACAGGAGTGGTTGGGGTCCGGCCCCGGAACCTGGCCTTGCGGGTCCTGGCCCGGCCCCAACGTCGTCTTCATGTCGTGCACTTGCAGGACGTCGGGGGCGCTGCCGCTTAGGCCGCTTAGAGCCTGCTGGGCGATGTCGTGCGACGACAGGTAGACCAGGTCCAGGTCTCGGGGGCTCAGGGCGTCGCTGGAGTCGTAGTCACTGTCAGTGGGGAGGAAGACTTCCGAGCAGCCTTCTTCATCAGAACAGGGCTGTGAGTCTGCAAAGCCAGAAACTGAGGTTAGAAAAAAGGGAAGCTCTGAGCCGTGTGGCCGAGAACCACCCCCCGCCTCCCATGTGTACACGGGCCCTGTGCTTCGTTGAATGGTCTGCTTTCAACTCTTGAAATTATTAACCATTTTTTGAACAAGGCGCCCCACATTTTCGTTTTGCATCACGTTTTGTAAGTTACGTAGTGTTCTTAGCTTAAGGGAAAGGAGGGGGCGGGGCCCTAACAGGGCCAACCTGGGCAGCAACAGAGGAGAACGAGTCCTCGGTCCCCACAGGCGATTGTATTATTCACTGGGCATTTGTAGAGAGGATGAAACAGGACACAAAGCTGGAGGTTGTTCATTTATCCATCCCCTGTTCTTATTTCAGAGATGAGTTTTGCATTTGATAAAGGAGCAGGAACTTAAAAGGGGGAAGGAAGAAAAGGAGGGCACTGTGGCGGCTGAAGTCAGGTAAGCTTGGTTTCAAATCCTTGCTGGATCTTGGGAAAGTGACTTAGCTTTCCTGAGCTTCAGTTTTCTTATCTGTAAAATTGGGATGATAGCAGAACTGCTTACTTAGGGTGACTAAAACATAAACTGATTGTGTATATAAACACCACGTTGTCAGGTGTTTAAAAAGAAAAACAAAAGGCCAAAGAAAAGACAGAAGTGAATTGAGAGGCAAAAATAAGCCTCAAAGTGCATAGTATAATGATAAGTGAGCCACGAGTTTAGTTCTATAGATATTTGACTTTTAATGCACTAGTTAAATCCTTTTGTACATTTCTGCAGGGTAAGGACTGTCTTAAAATTCTTTGAATTTCCCACAGAATTCAGCCCATTGTAGGTACTTGGTTAAATATATACAAATTTTGAAAACAGGCAAGTTATCCTAGAAAGAACAAAAAAATCTCTAAGCTACAAATCTGAGATAACCCCAATTAAAAAATCTACATAGGATTTTTGTTGTTGTTGTTAAAGATTTTTATTGGGGAATTGGGGGAAGGGGAACAGACAAGTTGCTGTCTTTTTGTTCTTCAGTCTAGTTGTGGAGGACGTTGCTTCACTGGCCCAAGTTGGCACCATCATTGCGCTCTTCCCGGGTGAGGCAGATCAGTCGCCGGCTTCTGGACGGCCACTCACTGCGGCTGCTGGCTACACACGGTAGCCCATGGCAACCCGCTGCCACAGGGGGTGCAGCCTACGCCGTTGCCGGCGACTCATGGCAGCCCAGCTCCAGGTTGAGCTGTTGTTGAGCATCTTAGCTGTGGAGGGCAGTGTCACTGGCCCTCATATGTGGGATCCGAACCGGGGCCCTCTGGCATCCCAAGACAGTTCTTAACCATCGTGCCACTCGGCCGGCCCTGCATAGGATTTTTAAATGGAATTTAGTAAATTACTTTTTAAATTCATCTGGAAGAGAAAATTTATGAGAATAGCCAAACTATTTATTTATTTATTTATTTATTTAGATATAATAGGGAGGAGCCTGATTTACTAGATATCAAAACATACTCTAGAGCTTTGGTAATTAAAACTCTGTAGTATTGGTGTACAAATGGACAGATGGATCAATAGAACAGAAAAATAAAGTCCAGAAGCAGTCTTAATTCTGTGTGATAATTTAACATATGGTAAAGATAACATTTCAAAGTAGAGGAGTGAATAGATTATTCAGTATATAGTGTTGGGAAAATTGGTTATCCCTTTAGCAAAAATAATTAGAGAAATTCCTACCTTATATAAAAATAAATTCCATGTAGTTTATATACAATAAGCAAACCCTACAAGTATTACAAGACGATAAATTTATAATTTTGGGGCGGGAAGGTCTTTCTAAGAAAGAAAAGCCCCTAGAAGTAAGAAAAGAAGTGCTTGATGTATTTGACTACATCACAGTTTACTACTTTTTAAAGCAAATGATACCATAAACAAAGTCAAAAGTTAAGTGATAGATTGGAAGAAAATAGTAATAACATGCATAGCAAAAGGTTAATATCCAGAAAATATAAAGTACTATACATTGGTAAGAAGACAATCCAAATGGGGAGAAGATAACCAACACTTCAAAGTAATTAATACAAATGGCATGGTCAATAAACAAAGATGTTCAACCTAGCTAGGCTGTAATTACTAACTAGATAATAATTAGGAAAATATAAGTTGGAACAATGAGGCATTTTTCCCCTTCATCAGATTTGCTAAAAATAATAAGAGTGATAATCTCATGTGTTGGTGATATGTGAGAAATCAGGGATGCTCATACGAGTATAATGATGGCGGGAATATAAACTGGTACAGGTTTTTGGGTAGCAATTAGGTACAGTATATTAAAGTTGTGCATATCATTTGTCCCAGCAAGTCCCTTTTCAGATATCTGTGTTTGAGAAATTGTCATTATGTGTACATGCAGACATGTACATGTTGTTTACTGCAGCATGACTTAATAATAGTGAAAAACGGAATATGTAACCTTGTGGCTGAGACTGCTGTGAAAGGAAGACTTAGAGGCACAAAAACATTAAGAAAAGAAAAATAGTTTAAGAAAAGAAAAACAGTTTACTTGCAAAGTTCTGTAAGGGAGTCCAAATTCAGGACTGGCTTGCTGATTAAAAAATACAAAAGGTATTTAAAGTAAAAACCCACAGGATTACAGGGTTATAGTTAGTCTGCTCATGATGGAAAGTCAGACATGATTATCATAAGAATATTGCAAACTTCAGGGAAAAAATTGTTTTGTTAGAGATTCAGTAATTTTCACAAATAGGATTAAGGTTTCTTCTATTTTAGAGACTAGAACCAGATGTCATACTTTTTTTTTTTTGGCTTGTTTATTTCAGGGGTCAGGGTGTGAAGTACTTTTTTTTTTCTAACTATAGAAGATAATATGTGTGTTTACTCATTGGGAGGACAAGGTTTAAGTTTTGTTCTCTCACTGATGGTTGCTACCCAATATCTATTATCCTTTCTTAAATCTTCAAAAATCTTCAGCTTTGTTTGAGATAGCAATACACTCATGTAAGACTACATTTTTTCATCTTCCCTTGTAGCTAGGCATGGCCATATAGCTAAGTCAAAACTTACATTAATCAAAAACAATGAGACAGAACTGAAGGCCTTATATGAAATTTCCGTAAGGTTACATAAGGGGACCTGGCTTAGCTGGGAGGTAGGCTATCTTGTTTTTCCTCTTTCCTTCCAGTTGCCTGTAACAAAACTTGTTGGCTGGGCTCATGAGGCAACCTTGGAAAAAGAAGCCATGAGCTAGGATGGTGGAGCTAAAATATGGAGCGTGGTCTGAAGACCATGGAATTTGCATAACAACTCTTAAATACCTGCGTCTGGGCTTCTTTTACACAAGAGAGAAATAAAGTTTCTTGTATTTATGACATTCTTATTTGGGTTTTCTGTAACATGGATCCAAACTTAATCCTGACGCAAACCTAAATGTCCATCATTAGCAAGGTGGTTCAAAAATTTGGGCCCATGCATACTGTGGGATATTATCCAGCAACTACAAAGAATGAGGTTAACCCATATATTGTTTTTAAACGATGGCTACCAAAAAGGACTCCCTTTTCTACTTTTTGTTGGTTCTACTAATCTGTTCAAGGTTTCCCTCAAACATAGCCTTCTTTAGGAAGCATCCTCCAACTATCCCAGAAAGTATTTCTTACTTTTCTATGCATCTGTAACACTTTTTGCTTCTATTATTATTTGGCACTTAGCCTGTGTAGACTTGTATTATTAATCTTTTTTAGTGCAAATATAACATCCTCATTGCCTGGTTAGATCAGAGTCCTCATAGGGCAAAGATAGATAATTCATCCTCATTCAACAATGAAGATTCTATTTTGCTTGAACTCCTGTTGTAACAGAAACACTGGGGTTATGCTTGGTGCCTGAGTGAATATAAAACTAGTAAGAAATGATCTGTCTCCAGGGAGTTTACTGTTTTAATGGAGGTAGAGGGGATATATGCATCTGTGAGACTGGAAGGACATACATTTTATAAGTTTAGCAAATAAGATGTAGGTTTATAGGAAAGAGATCACATTTTACTGGGACAGGGTTGATAAAATACTCTGTCATCTCTTGTTTTTTCCCTTCCACTCATTCATTTCTATTCTCTCTGTTAATTTATTTCTTTATCCACTTTCAAAAAGTGATTTGAGGCAGTTTTTATAATAAATGTGCAAACGGTGATGAGGATCAGAAACCAGAGAGGAAGAGGAAATGTAAACTACAAGTAGTCCTGTTTGACTAAAATATGGGAATAGGAATGGAATTTGGGGAAAATGGGGCTACAAAAGTAAGATACCAGCAATTGCACTCTTGGGAATTTATTGTAGAAAAATTAAGGCTTATTTTCATACAGGAACTCATACATGAATGTTCAAAGCAATCTTATTTGTATTAACCCCAAGCTGGAAACTACCCAAATGTCCTTCAGTGGATGAGTGGTTAGTTAGACAGACTGTAGTATATTTATGGAATACTAATTAATAAAAGTAAAGAATCCCATTTATTTAACATTTGTGAAATAATTAGATGAAGAACAGATTAGTAGTAGTCAAGGATACGGATAGGGGGATGGATAAGGCTGTAAACAGGTAACAGAGTTTTATGGTGATGGTACAGTTGAGCGTCTTGATTATGGTGGTGATTACCCAAGGCTACACATATGATACAGTTGCATACAGCTACACAAGCAAGTCTGTGTGCTTGAGTGCTAGTGCGTGTGCATGGGTGCGCGTGCACATGCACACATACACACAAGTATATATATATAACTGGTGAAATCTGGATAAGCTCTGGATTGTACCAGCTTCTTGGTTTTGATATTGTACAAGAGCTGTGTAAGATGTTAACACTGGAGAGGGGCTAGGGAAAGAGTACATGGGAATTCTTGCACATTTCTTTGCAACCTACTGTTTCTGTAATTACTGCAAAATAAATGGTTTAAAGAGGGAATTTAACTTTTGTAAAAGGTAGGACGGAGCCAGAG